TAACGTGTCCTGACTTGTAGTGGTTCTCTCCTCTATCTACATTCTTCTTGTCATCTTTGTAAAACGATATCAGACTGGTAATTGACACAGCAATGACTTCTAGTTAAATTCAGTGTGGCTAAAATGAAAAGCTTTGTTAAAATATGCAAGCACGCGAAAGTCAAAGTCAGCTTTATTGTCAAAAATTCTACATGTGTTATACATCCAGAAATCTCGAAATACCGTTTCCCACAATGTGACATGTATACATAAAACAAAAACAAAAACGGCCTAGATAAACGTGGTATACATTAAACAAAACAAAAACGGCCTAGATAACCGGGGTATACAGTTTAAAATGTTAATATATTTAAAGTGTTCAAAGTGCAGTTTCAATGCAAGTCAGTTGAAACGATCTTAAGTTGGCGTGACGTTGAAGTCGTGCGACCCTGCTGCTGTACTGGCTTGTAGTTCGTTTATAGCATAACGTTAGCATTTCGCTTTTGGCGACTAGATTTATGATTCAAAAATTATAAAAGTAGGGTTGACATGTGGAGATTATCCGGCTGAACAAAACGTGATCCCTCTCTTAAATATGTGTCAACCACAGACCTTATTTCGAGCTATTTTCCAAAATCCTATGGAGAATTTGCATTGGTTTTTCACGAAAGAAACCGGAAGAAGTTTACTTCCGGGTTTTACGACGCGTCACTGCGGTTCTCTAATTACCGACCACTGCAGTGCTGCCCGCTGTTGGCGTCACAACGCTGTTATGAAAGTTTCTGTGGTATAAAATGGGTGATGTTAGCATAGCAACTGAAGCTAAACTGACTATCTTGACTACTTGTTGCTATCCTATTGTTGTGGCATAAGCCGGCACATTCTACCGGTGTATTTTTCATTATGATTCTACTTGTGATAGTCGGACATGACAACCTGTGCAGCCCATGTATTGATTCCATCCGATAGCTGCTATAATACAAAACAAAACGTCTGCCTGCTCTCCACAATGATCATTGACAGCAAACGGATGGTCAAAGTAGGGTGCAAATAACAAGAATCACACGAAGCCTGGTTAGTGTTGGCTGACTTTATAAAGTGTTTTTTTTTTAATAAGTGTGTGGTTGCGTTCTAGTCACCTTGGTCAGCGCTACTGCTTGCTACAACTTTCATTTGCCGTACTCGCCATAAACTGTTATTGCTCAGGTTGATCCCGCCCCTACCCCCGCCTCCGACGTAAGCAGTTCTTGCTTCTAGACCGGCCATTTTTTGGTGCTTGAAAAGCACCGGGTTTCGGTTGACAAGAAGAATAACTGATCCTTTAAATTGGAAAATTGTAGTTTAAGGAAAATGTTTAGATTTTGAATAAATGTCTGTTAGGTTTGTTCTACATCAAAGCATTACTTGTAATTCGTTGTAATATATTGGTGACATTACACTCAATCACACCTTTTTCCCAATATTGTTGCAGAACCTACAGATACTATCGTCATCCCCAGGAAGAAAACATGGTAAGTGTCCATATGCTTATAGTCCCATTTACATATGCTTGTATATCAAGTCAGTATTTGTATTTTACATTTGCATCAGGTGTCTTTATGCCAGACTAATGTGTCCTTTGTCATTGAACAGGAGCAAAGAGGCGGTGCTGGAGGCTCTGTCTTCCACTGTGGGCAGGGTGAGAGCTTCATCTGATGAACTTTCACTGAAAAAGTTGGCTAGTTTATCTGTCTGTGTGCCTGTTTGTTCATATATTATAATTGTTTCTGTTTCTAGGATCCTACAGCATATCCCTACAACTTCCAGGATGATCCTTTCCTCTCGCCCCGGACAGTTAATGAGTTTGTACGTCAAAAAAACACGCCATCCCATCTGTCATTTTTATCCCCTCATGTAGGGTCCTATGGGTTGTTGAAGGCAACTTCATGTATTTGTATGTACAGCAACAACAGTGGTGTAATGTACTTTTACTCAAGTTTATTTAACTTGAGTATTTTCACTTTAAGCTACTTCATACGGTACTTCATACTTCATACGGTCTGCAATAAAAATACATTTTTATTGCAGATGATATCTGCAATAAACATTTATTTTGCAGATTACAGTCAGTAGTATGACATGCAGTATAAATCAAATAACAAATTATTACATTTATTATAATTTGGACTACCCCACATTTACTTTATAAGCTGCAACATTGAAGTGATGATCACACTAATGCATAAATAATTATGATACATATATTTAATCTGATTTTGAATACTGCGTAATGACTACATTTACTTTTTGGTACATTTTAATAGTAATCCTTTTGTACTTTTACTTTAGAACAATTTTTAATGCATGACTTAAGCTTGTAACCAAGTATTGCTATACTGTAGTATTGCTAGTTTCTTCTATCTCTGCTTAATGGTGGTCATTTTGGAATGGCAGTACATTTGGATTTGAGCAACAAAAGAGATCGCTGTTGTATGTATGTTGCTGTAATATAAATATGTGTAATATATGTTTTGTAACTGAGCCTGTGTCGTTTTGTCTCCCTGCAGAAGTTGTTCTCTCTCGCTAAGGAGTCTGGCAGATCTGCAGCCAAATTCTTTATCAACAATAATCCCAAGTATTTCACCACAGACTTCGCTGAACCACATATACCGGTAAGAACACACAGACAACGACACACACATATGCAGATTGTTGGAGTAAAGATGTCTTTTTGTAGGACGACAGAGAAATTAGCATAGCAGTTCCATTAGATTTTGGAATTTCTGTGGCAAACACACATTTATGATACTTCCACATTTTGTTCAACAGGATCATCTCCACATGTTAACACCACTTGTATAAGAGTTAAAGCATAAATGCAATAGCATGAAGCAAAAAGCTAACATTAGGCTATGAACTAATTACATCACGGCCACATGGCTTCACGCAGGGGTGCCAACATTTGAGTTCAGCTTGGAGTGAGATTTTTTTCTTGGTTAACCGAGAAAAAGAAACGTTCATGTGTACAGTGTTACAAATGTATTGAACATATACAAACTAGGGTTTCCCATTAATGTACCGGGCGCTACAGTGTAATACGCACATACACAGTGTACCCGCGACTCTTACAATAAAGGCTCGATAATCAGCTCACAGCATATAAAATAGCATATAGGTGTAAGCAGAGGTAAAGTGCTATTTTATAAGTGTGGGGGGGGGGTCCTCACCTCCTCTAGGGGGGTCAGGGGCATGCTCCCCGGGAAGACTTTTTTTTTTTAAATATTGAAGTTAAATGCATCAACCTGGTGCACTTTGAGAGCAAAATGAATTTATGGTAAACAGATTTTTCTTTATGGATATTTTACAAATCACTCACCTTTTAAACTGTATTCTTGCTTTACTGTTATATAGTATTTCATAACTGTTTAACTCATTTATGTTTTATTCTCATAAATGGTGACCAAAACGTTTGAGACCCACTGAGATAACTAGACTAAAGTTAAGTATCTAAACAGAGAGTCCCTTACCTCACTGAGCTGTAGTTATCTCTCAGTCTGACAGGACAGAGCTCTCCCTCTCATTGTTTTAGAGACAGCTTCTAGTATCCGTTAGCGCAGCTAGCTAACCAGATGCTAACAACAACAATGCAAATAGTGAGTTTGGTAGAAATATACTGTATAATAGTAAAGTTATTGAAGATGATGCCATATTTATTGAAGATTTTACATTATAAATATTCCCCAACATTATTCAAAAGCATATTCTTCCAAACTCCTTGCTGTAGGGGTTGGGAGGGTTACTTTGTAAATGTAATCAGTTACTGATTACTGAATACATGGCTCTGAAAGTAATCCCAATACAGTTACATTTACGTCTCTTAAAAAAGTAATCGGATTACTTTTAGATTACTTTTGGATTACTTTCTTTTTCCATCACAGATGGTATGTTTTGGTGAACAGGAGACACAAAAAGCAAAA